CACCATCCCAAGCCAAGAAGTCCCAACTACGACCTCCCCCAGTGCCTAATATATATAGTGGGATGAGATCTTGTTCCAAATACGAGATTTTAGAAAACCACTCTATAAAGGGTTTTATCTAATTGAAGAAGCTATCCAATTTGCTCAACAGTGTCTTGGAGACAGCTTTTTCATTAGCCCTCATCTTTCTCCAGATTTGCAGGAACCTTCAGGAGAAATCGTGAAGACCACCTTAGCCCCACTGGCGGGTGGAAGACAATTAGTTCCCCCACTGGGAATTAATCAATATTTAATCGAAGGATCTTCCTTAACTTCTACATCTATTCCATTAGTGGATGACACTCAGAGGCAACTCAGGATGTATTTCAATCCACGAGTTCCCTTACCCGAGCTGCCAGATGATTCAAGACAGCTAATTTTTCAGAAAGCAGAAGCTTTAGGCCATGCTAGATTGAAGGCAATTCAACAATTCCTTCAACAAATAGCCGAAGATGGTATTAACCGATCTGGTATAGGCTTCACATGGGACACCTATTATTCTACTACAGAAGGAAGACTCAAAAGGTGTAATAGGTGTGAAGGAGAAACTGCAGATGGGATTCCACTTGAAAGAAATGACTGTCAATGTCAACTCGTCTATAGCATTTGCAGAGCTTCTCTAGATCTATCCTCCTATGAACCCATCCAGTTTTTATATAAAGGGGAAATCATTGAGTTAACTCCACAGTTACTCCTTGATTATGGTTTTCTCTATCAATTAATTTTTACAAAAATGGCGGATACTGATCATGTTGGAAGGAAATTTGCCATTGCTGTCTTAGAAAGCATGCCTCCCAACTATGTTGAGGCATTAATTCAGAGCAAGGCCCCTGAATGGAAGGGTAGACATCTGCTTCCGGCACAGCACAAAATTATTTTAAGAAGAAGAAGCAGTTTACCGCCTCTCTACAGAGACGCTCAGCTGGCCATCCACTACTCAGTCCCTCACAAAACAACTCAGACACTGGAGAGCTAGAACAATGGCCCACATGCAGGTCATGGGAGATGATTTTTCTGCTGGATACACCCTCTTTACCGAGGACAATATTCAGAAAATTTATCTTGATCCTGATGTGTTTATTTACAATCAGAGTCAAAGAGAGATTTCCTTCTCACCTCAGACAAGCTACACTCAGCTACTAGATATTTACTCTGAGGAATATAAAAATGATGGAGATCAATACGAATATCGCGGCGCTGATTTGGGTGACGACCTTCCCAATGATGACCCAGATGAGCCAGATGATATAAACTTTTATGATGATCTTGACTCAGTTGGGTGGGAAAATCTCGAAAATCAAATGGAGGGATGATAAGTCAGACGAAGGAACAGGCATGCCTCACTCCAAAGTGACTGTCATGAGACATGTTCCGCAAAAGCCGGTTACTTTTTATCTTTCCCAAAAGATAAAGATGACCGACTTCAGTTACCTCTGTAAATAATCTTAGGGTTAGTTAACCATAGTTAGTTTAATGTAACTAGGGTTACTTTTACTGCAGTTACTTTGTAACTCAAGTTAGTTGGTTTGTTTTTCTTTAAATAGGCCTTCGTAGAAGTAGAAGAAAGGTTTTGGAGAATAGCAAATATAGAAGGTAGAAAGAGAGAGAGTCCAGGAAAGGTTCAAAGGTTGTACTCAGCTCAAATCCTTTTTAATCTGCACTCTTTCAAGTATGTATAAA